GGCCAATATGCTGCAGTGGCCCTCGGTGAAATTGAGTTTGACACCCCTGGAATAAGGGCTAAGCATAAAGGAGAAGGGGTGAAGCGGGATCTCTGAAATCTTCATAAAACTAATACTCAACCAGCTCACCTTTCCAAGAGGAGGATGCACATCAAAAAAGAAAGTTCTGTTAATGTAGTAGCTTCCCATCTTTCCAAAGTGAGTTTCATCCCAGCTGAAACACAAAGGACGCATTACTCAAACATGCTGAAGTGGTGTACTAACATAGAGGAGGTTACGACCTTTACTCACCACACATGAGGGGGTTCGGTTATCTTATAGAGCCGTGTAGCGAAAGATAGTCCTGTTACCACAATGAGAAGCAATTGGTTTGGGGAATCAACACTTGCTCTGGCTGAAAAATCACCAGATGACCCATTTGAGCAGGGGGTGTCATCTCGTTTGATCTTTGATTCTGGAGTGATTGGAGATTGATGGGTCTGCGCTGGAGATGGGAAGACTTTCCGGTTTCGTACTGTTGAACTGTCCCTCGTTTTGTGCCACTGAGAAATGCATTCTTCTTTTTCCATTAGCGGATAGCACCTTTTTAAATGACCACCAAATGTGTAGCTACAGATTCATACGGCTCTTATTATGCCCTGCTAACAGAGGCAAGCAACATATAGCAGCTATAAAAATACATTTAATAGAAAATATCAGCTCTCATTATTGTAAACACTATCAGTCCATTTAATGTTACCTCTCTCACTTAACAAATTAGCAGACATGATCATCAGATATGATATCCCCAAGCTTCAAAACATTTTGTGTGGAAAACTAGTTTTCCAGCAAAATATCCTTCTCGATCACTAGCGATTAAATCCAAGTTAGCTGGTGCAAATAGCCGTAATTTACCGTTATAGGCAGCTAAATGCTACAGTGGAGCGTTACAAATACAAATACATATGGAATGCGCTGCCTTCTGGGAAATGTATTGAAACAAAAACGAGGCGAACAAATTACTTGTTGACGGTGTTTCACAGGAGAAAACGCTAATTCCCAAAATCCCTCTTCTCTCTTCCCAGTACGGAAAGCCGGAAGGATAATTTCGTAAGGGGGCGGGAGGAGTTGGAATAACTCTGGAGCTCCTGGTCAGACCATCGCCGTACTGGTTCAGTCCAGCTCTCAATAAAACCAATTTTTTTTTATTATACGAATCTACAAATCTAAATTTGACAGGAAGGAGAGAAATTCGGATGACTGAAAAAACAAAAATACAACAGCAGCAGGGAAAGCGCTATAGACGCATTATTAAAATTCAACCACTAGAGGGCAGCATCACATAATCTATCTATCTATCTATCTATCTATCTATCTATCTATCTTTGAAAACCATGTTTCATTGCCCTTGCACTCTATAACTACTAATAAAATGTGAAAGTTTGTGGTTGGAGTGTGACATAATACAGAAAGCTTTGAATGGCTTTCTGTATTGGGAACAATTTGTACTGTTCCCAATACAAATTGGGAACAGAAGGTTCCCAATTTGTATCTTTAGTGCCATTGAATTGTTTAACGTTTGAAATGAAAATTAAAGAATTGTACACTGTTTTGATCAAACTCAGATCTTATTATAGCTTACTGCAGAGTACAGTGAACTAATGTTACTGCTTCATAAGCAATTGTCTGAATGTTCATGACAGCATACAGAAGAAATCATCACAGTTCGTTTTTTGTTATTTATTTTTGATGACTGATACAGATTACAGTCAGGAGGTAAACAAAATGAACAGTCAAGATACTGACCACAGCTTTACAATATTTAATTTGTCTGTAGTTAATAATGTTTGAAAGACTTTAAATAGCTCAGCGTTTACCACATTTATAGTCTCCAGTCCAAATCAGGCAAATATTTGAACAATAGAGCAAAGAACAGTTGGCTTCATATAAAATCATTTGTAAAACTGCAGATTGAAAATCTAGAAAGATGGCCATTGGCATAAATTATCAGCTTTAATCATCATGTCCAGGTGTTATCAGGTCTAAATGTGCTACAGAGAATACCTGCTAATGATTACAGACAAGCCATTTATGACTGACTATGTTGCCTATAAACCATAAATTACACAGTCATTCAAAAGAAACGGGAATAAATCATGTTTACTGTTATAACAAAAAATGCTGCAATGTTGTGATTGACATAAGCAGGTGCTTGCATTACAAAATTGTTATTTCTTAACAGTGGTGCCACTTGCAAAAAATATATATATTTATATAACTCGTAGTCTGCTCCATAGGGCAGGGTATACACAGAGTTCCTATGGTACAGTGTCACTCTTCTCATACAGAAAAAGAAATGCTTTAAAGACATTTTAACAAACAGATATAAATCTACAAAAGCTAGAAATGGTGGCTTTTTTTTTTCATTTGATGTGCAATGTCAAATATAGTATTGATTTTGCTAGATAGCATTAAGAGAATACGTTAAAAAAAAGTATATGCAACTCCTGATCTGCATAAAATATACCAAAGTTCTCCAACAAGGCCTTTGAGTTTACATACAGCACCTTTCAAACAAAAGCCTGGTAAAGATGTGTAAAAAATATTCAAATTAATTCATATTTTACTGAAGCAGCATGACGTTACACTATTTAATTTAGATAATACAACCTTTAATTTAAAAACATTTATTCAGCGGGGATAATGTACAGTGAGTTCTGCATAGAAAAAAATAATGGAACATTCAAATTGTTTTGTGCTTTTTTTCACAAACAGCATAAACGTTACTAAAATTAAAAATGTATTTTCACAAATCTGTTTGGTCTAGAATTAGAGCTGACCAGCCGCAATGTTAAAAATTTGACCTAGTAATGATAAAAAGGTAGATCAAATTCCTTAAATATATAGGTCAGAGCCCTTTACTTTACCCAATCTTCCACAAAGCAACAAGAGAGTGCACACTTCTCGATGACAGAAAAGGAACATAAAAATTGTTCAGGGATGAATTTGTGTGCAGCGGTAGCAGGGCAGCTTGAGAAGAGAGTCATGATGATCACACCTAAAACTACTCACATCTGAATGTCTGGATCCGGACCCGACTTAGATTCATCAATCGTCAGCTGTCTACTCAGAAATTTCACTAAATAAAAATGAAAAGAGATTGACTTTTTTTGTTTGTTTGTTTTTTTTTTGTCAGGGGAACTATTTTTGTGTTGATTTGGGCAAATTTCACATGTGGGAAATTTTTTTCAAACAAGGTATAACAAAGACTTCATAAATTTTCGAACAATGACTTTCAGTCAGGAAAGTCATTGTTCGAAAATGAAAAGTTCTTAAACACTCTTAGCAACTTTGTAGAGTAAAGTACAAATTCTAAAACAACTAATTTATGTTTATTTTGAGGAAATACAAGAGTTACCACTTTGTGTGGCACTAGTATTTTTTGTTAAAAAATGTTTTAATAGTTTTCAATCTAATTAGAGAGGGTATTTTTATTTTAGAAATTATTTCCAAAATAATGCTTGCAGAATAAAATACAAATGCATTTTTACACATCTTTACAAGGGGTGCCAATAAGTGTGGAGGACACTTGGGCATGGTCTGAAGAAGTATTCCTTTTTCTCGGTGACAATGGTCAATAAATTCAATGGCAAATAAAATACATTTCTTGTTGTTATTTCAGAATTTCTTGCAGAAAATGCAAACAAGGCTCGTTTTTTTTTCATCTTTTTTTAAGTAAAAGCGTGAAACAGATCAATACTATTATAAAAGAAAGAAATGGGGGTTAGTATTACATTTCTTTTTTTTTTTTTGAAAATGGTCCTAAACAGTCTACTCGGAGCACTATTTTCTGAACATCTCACAGAACCTCATATATACGTACAGTCTGTCAAAGCTTGTGCGGTGCTGGAGCTTTTAACGTGAAAGTTTGGCTGCTCGGTCCAGAAATCCTGAAGAAAGGCAGCAGTGGGAAAAATTCTTTGTTGACCCAGATAGATATAAGATGATATATGACAGAAATTCTTCAGAAATTCCTTCTCTTTAAAAAATACATTATTCATCTCCTCACAGAGTCTCTGTGAGAAACGAGAGGAACCGAGTCTAACCTCTGAAACTGGATGCTTTCTAAACTTTCAGAGGCCCGTCATGTCAATGAAATAAATAACAAACTTCGAAAAAAAGTGAATTGACAGAGAAAATACCGTGGAAAATATATGAGCAGATCAATTTGCCTGGGGTCACTGAATATATGAAAGAATCAGTCTCAAAAACAATCCCTTTAAGGCAAACAGAAATGTGGTGAACAATAAATCCCGTGTAAAACATTCAATGCACAGTTCCTGGTCCTCTTGAATGTGTAATAGGGGAAGGGATTAGAGAAAGCTTGTGTACGATTGTGTCTGTCAGGAACATGTGGGAGGGGAAGGGGAAAAGCTTGGACGAACAGTGTTACTGTTGGAGGTTTAGTGCCGGCCGGGCTCTCTGGGGGGACAGAGCACAGGGATGATGATGGTTTTAAGAAGCAGGAAAAGTTTGTTTCTCTTTCAGTTTTCTGCCCCCCTGAGTGTGGACTCTGGGATTGCTGAGATGCATTTGTGTGGCTTGGCAGAGGCCACGAAGCCGGGCAGGCAGGTGCACTGGTAGGACCCCTCCGTGTTGATGCACTGGCCGTTCTGACACAGGGGGACCTTGTCACTGATGTCCTCACATTCGTTTATATCTGCAGGGAAGAGGGAGACGTAACAAGCCAGTGAGCAGGGTGATTCAACAGCCGCCCGCAGCACATCTGTTGCTGAGTGGCCTCGTGGGTGTTAAAGCTAACATAATTTATATTTCCTACTCCTTGGCCTGCTTTCTTTAATTCCTCCCTTCCTTCCTTCCCTTTTCCTGTAGTTCCAGCATTTTCTGTTAGTCTGAATTTCTCGAAAGCAAAGGACTCAAGCAGATGGTGACCACTGAGTTTTGTTGACCTAAATAAATCGCAGCTTGCAAACAAACCAAACACAACAAAAAAAAAAAAAACACTGGGTTACTAACTGTACTTCTGCAGATCCTACCCCTGCATATTCTGCTAATATCAGCTCCGATAAGGCAGAAAGAATTGAAATTTGGCAATGGCAGCATCATGCTCTGGGGATGCTTTCTTTTTCAATAGGGACAGAGAGGAGCTGCAGAGTTGATGGGAGAATGGATAAAGGTAAATCAATCTGAGCTTATTTGTTACAGAAAATTTCAGTCTCTAGATATGCAAAACTGGCAGAGACATATCTTTAAATGCAGCTGCGATGGCAGAAAAATGTGGCTCTCATGTGTTGACCCAGAGACCGGAGTACAAATGCACATCATAAAATTCTAATTTTTACTTTTCCCAAATTTTTGAAAAAGGTGTATCACAATTATGCACTACATTGTGCTGGTCTCACATTAAATACAATGGAACTGAAGATGATACAATTATAAAATGCAAAAGAAAAAAAAAAACACTTCAAGGGGTAAAATACTTTTGCGAGGTACTCTGTTTACCAGGACATACACTGAGTAGTATCGTTTCCCCTTTGAATACAGCATGAACAATAGGTAACACAAAGTTTTTGCATAAATATAGGGAACATTTTCATCATAAAATAAAGAAATAAAAAAAAGCATAAAATTAAAGTGATGATATCTTTCTGGCTTATCAGGTTCAATTAAAATAATGTATATCTAAGAAAAAAATAAGTCTCCTACGTGTTGCCCAATACTTGATCTGAAACACAGGAAGAAAAACACTCAAGTGTGTGTTAGCTGAGCTTTAACTGTTGAACGCTGGATGCTTAGAAATTACGTTAAAAATACATCCGACAGTGTTTCCTTTTGGCCTTCAGCTGTTTCCTTGTTTCCATCTTGGGAGGTCTGAGTATCTTTTTCCGAGCATTCGGTCTCAAATGACCCTCGTTCTGTTTACGTCATGTCCTGCTGGGGAAATTCGAGAGGCGGTATTTATAAGAGGACGCATGGCACAAGTTGCACGTGTTTCCTCAGAGTTCAGTCACTCTGCATGGGGAGACAACTGGCCTTGGAGGCAAAAAGCCCATACAGAAACAGAAGGCTCCAATCATAGCACCTCTGCATTGCTAAACAGCCTCACTTTCTTCTAAGACAAACAAAATATCTCCAAAGAGATATAATATCTCATGTGATATACGTGTGGCTAAAATTCAAGGTCTCCTCATTCTTGGCAGAGAGCAACATACAAATTTAAGACCAAAAGGCTAGTGAGCGATGTTTTACAGAGTGCACTGCTTTCATTACTTTCACATAAAACCTAATCTCATGCAAGGTTGTTGAACTCAAAGCTTCTCCTTGAGCTGGACAATGTAAAGGATGCTGAAATCATCTAAAAGATATGACTCTGAACAGCTTATGCTCGAAGGCCGAGTATCAGATTTTGCTTTCAGCTTCGACAGGAAAACTTCACAGTAACCCAATAAAAGTGATTTCTTACTGCATTGATGAAGAGATTCCTATGACGCAGTCCTTCAAATTCTGAATGCATGAGATGCTGAGGGAAAGAACCCACCTATGCAGGCCATCTTATCCAGGTTAAGTTCGTAGCCGTCGAAGCAGTCGCAGGTGTAGCCCTCTCGAACACGAACGCAGCGTCCGTTTTCACATCCGTTCAGGATCCCACACTCCTCCGCTCGGAGACCCTCAAAGCTGTCGTAGCGCCGCTCTGATCAGACAGACAGGCAGACAGACAGTCTATTAGTAATAGATCACATCAGATTTCAGAAACAGCTACCTAAAACATGTAGCACATAAAGGGCAGTGTGTCTTGAGGAGCAGGGTTGATCTGGAGGACGTTAAGTATGTCCTACCTGTGTAGCGATCCAGCGGTTGGGGTTGGCTCCCACCTGGACGTAGGACTGGGACACGAAAGGGTGGTTGCGGGTTGCTGTAGTCACCGTCAGTAAATATGGGAACACTTTCAGGAATGCCACCGCCATAGTTATCCCAGTACGGGGGAAGCTCTGGCTCTTCAACTCCGTACTCGTATCCTATCCGCTCTCGAAGGCTGTCTGCGCCTTCCGTCCGAGGCAGGTTGCACATCGAAGCATAATCAACTGCACGACGGATCAAAGCAAAACGTTAAAGTTTGTTACAGGAAACAAAGGTCTACAAGAGAACCAGAGTGCGATGTGCATCCTGCTCCTCACCAGAGTCTTTCCTGGGGCAGAAGGCACACTGACCACTCCAGGCGACGCCGTACAGGCAGCAGCATTCAGTGTATGTCGTTCTGCGCTCCTCAATCGGTTCTGCGCACATGTTGTCCCCCTCGAGTCGGCGCCAGCAAATATCTACGTGCACATCCTGATCAGAATCTATGATGTCTTGGAGAGAAAGAAGAAGGTTTTACAAACAATGAAATAAAGGTTAGATCAGAGCGGCACAACATTTCACACCTAAAAAAAAAAAAAAACTAGAGCAAAAAGAAATACTGCTCATTAGTGAGTGTCAGACCTTCTGTTGTGTTGAAACTGACGCAGCGGCGCTGTGTGCCGTCCAGGACTAGCGGAGGACTGCAGAAACAGTTGAACGATCCTGCCGTGTTCACACACGCTCCGTTTTCACAAGGGTTTCCAAATCCACACTCGTCATAATCTGGCCACATATGAACAAGAACGGAACGAATCCATCAGAGAAGATTCGGAATAAGTAAAAATATTATTGTATTAGCTTTGACACTGTCATTGTTTTTCCCTCATTTACAAAAAAGGGAAATTTGACAGTCTTGAAATCTTTCCAGTTGACATAGACAAAGAAAGAAAGATGTTTGGCATCACACCATACAGCAGGAAGGAAAGGAAGAGAGAATGAGGAAACACCACAAAAAGGAAGCCAAGAAGGAAGGATGCAGTGTTTGAACAATGAAAGAGGAAATACCGTCAAAAATAAATATGTATAAATATGTCCCTTTACTACATGGTTCTTCATAGTTCCATTCAGCTGTCTAAAATAAAGCGACTACAGAAAAGAGACTCACAGGTCTGGCATTCTGTTTTAGATCAATTATATTTATTATCTTGCACACTTTTATTTAAAACCTTTGTGTGAATGCTGTGATATTGTGGGATTTTTACATTTATATATAAAAATGAGATTTAAAGTACAAACTAAGCTGCTATGGATTTCTTTACACAAAAATGAAACTTTTTGCTATTGACTATTTGCTTTTATTTAAAACTGTAAAGAACCAGTTATTTCTACTGCTGATGCTAAAAAAAATATATATATAACACCTTTATTATTACAGTTAGAATAATCCGATGTATGGCCTTTATTTGTTTGATTTTAAACATAGGAAAAAATGGATTTGTTTAATAATGTTCTATTCTTTTTAGCATAAAACAAGCTTAACAGTCAATATGAACAGTTAAGGCTATCTGCTGCACTCGGCTTGTTAATTAATATGCTTACAGGTTACTAGCTAACCTTTACTACAATGTCAAGCTATGTTGCCCTCTAATGCTACCAGTGGGTGGTGCTCTTTTTTCATTTTCACACCATGACTTCCCATGTTTTTAGTAACAGGGAAATATTTCTAAACAGTAAAATTTGCTTTCTAAAGTGTCAGAGTGTTTTATCAGCCGGTGGGCCTCCACCGGCTGATAAAACAACAAGTGGCTTTTATAACTGGAGAAAACGTTTAGTCACATCAGCACTTCGTCTGATCTGTTATTACTTAAACTGTAGAAATGATGATGGGTGTAAGCGGATTTGAAACTGCAGCTGTTTAGAACCTTGGCAAACATTCCTACAGACTGTATTACATGTGTAGTAATTCACATTTTTGTTAACCTACAGCAGTAATAATTTCTGAAATTAAATTGTTATACATTTCACTTGTTACATTTTGAATAACACCGACTGTTTTAATCAAGGTTATCATAGTGTTAAAATCTCGTGCAAGCACCTGCATATGTGTCATGAAAAGATTAGTTGTCACTTCTTATTTTCTTAATTCTTATCTGAATTCTTGATAAAAAGCTGCAGATAATAGTATGAGATAATAGAAGGAATGAGATAAATAAGAAATGCAGTCTGCCTAAGTGAGATAATGTAAATTCTTACCCACACACTCAAGCCTGATTTTGTCGTAGAAATATCCAGACTGACAGTAGCAGGTATACCCAGAAAAGAAATTGGAACATTGCCCATTCTTGCATATCTCGCTTCCAAACATTTCACATTCATTTGCATCTGAAGGAAAGACAAATTCACTTGTTACTGCTCAATGTAAAAAAAAAAAAAAAAAAAAAAAAATCTAAAAATGCAATGATCATATTTCACCTCTCTGAACCAGTTTGACCTGTTACGAGCAAATATGCTCACCTTTGTAGCGCAGGTCTTCTCCATGACCCAGTAAAGAAGACCCAGGTAAAGTTAATAATCCGTTGCCATGGGGACACAACTGGTTGTAATCGTCTGTAAAATGCATAAAAGTTACAATCTAGGAGCTGAAATTAGGAAAACATCCATTTTCCAGAGAGTTGATCTCATGCTGTACCTCTTCCTACAGGAGGACAGGGGTGAATCTCACAGTTGTCGCCCCAGCCGGCGCCGGCTGTGCAGCAGCACTCCTGCTTGGTGGTGTTATGAGACAAGACATTGTTGCACAAGTTGACATCATTTAGGTTATAATAGCAATCTTTCCTCTCTTCAGTGATGTGAGTGGATGTAGACACCGGCTTAGAGTCAGGAACAGCTGAAAACGAACAAAGAAAGCATTTCATTAGGATACGAAGTACATCACAAGAACTACTGTAAGAAAAATGCAGATTTCTTCTGTTGCTGCAATTTTGTCACAAACTACATGTTCCAGACCAAACTAATTTTAATATTAGGAAATGATAACCTGAGCAGATACCTATATTTAGATATTTTAATAATATCTGATTCCTTTTTAAATTGTGAATAAAGTCTGATTGAACGTGTTTATTGCAAAGCTGACATGCAGAATCAAGAAAGCCCCTAAATAAATCCTGTCCAACAACATAAGGGCTAAAAAACATCAACACATCACATGCTGAGAAACAAAGTCACTAATATTCAAGGATTACTGGACTGATTGGAGACTGATGCTTCTGAGCTTTGGCTGCTGACAAAGTGCTGCAAATGCGATGTGAGTTGTTTTATAGGCTTTGGGACTCCGGTGAATCACATCGAAAGCAAATTATCCACGGGTGAACAAAACATGGAGTAGTGGTGAACCCCACAAACATCTGGCCTACCAAAATTCCCCAAGGAGCGAATGAATGAGCCATTCACGGCGTTACCAAAGCCACATATTAGGTTTATCCAATTACTTTTTACTCATTGGGTATTGGTTTGAATGACTTCATCATTTTGGATTTACTAAGCTTATTTTTGTCTGAAATTACACTGGTTAGCCGATCTTAAAACATCCAATTGTGATAAAGCGCCATACACTTTATTGGCACATCATCACACTGTAATAACTGTAAACTGCTTCTGCTTTCACCCTGCATCCATCAGCAGGCCGTGCGTTACCGTCGCCTGCTCATTTGTCCACTGTGAAGGGCTCAGGCATTTCACTCCTAAGCTGCTGGCTTAGCCAAATGGAAACACTGGCATGTGAGTCAACACACCAATTCAGACTCACATGATTGATTCACACACGTCAAAAGCAAACAGAGGAATGTGGCAAAAGGCTATACAGAGGCATAACCGGGATTTAGTGGCCAAAAAGAAGTAAAAACATCCCGAATGAGGGTGCGCCACTCAATAATGTAAATGTGTTCAATTTTGTGTATACCTCCTGTATTTGAATTGTTCAAAAGGCCTTATCTCTTTCATAAGGTTACTTAAGGTCAATTTATGTAAAAGAAGAAGAAAGTACCTTAAGCTGCCAGTAAGAAAACGCTATCTTTGTTTGTCTTCTAAATAAAGGAATTAGGTCTTCTCTGATCTTTGTGTAGGACTTACATCATTATCTATCTCAGGGATTAGGCTAATGCAGATTTTTTGGAGGTGAACCACCCAAAGTCAGTCGCAGCCTTTAAAACGAATGGATACAGACAGATCTAAAAAAACATTTACAGAGGAGGCTATGTCCTCCTTGTCACCCTTGTTTGGATAATAAGAGACGGCTCATTAAACCAGGGAAAACTCCGTCTCCCGACGATAGGATAGAGAATTAAGTCCTCTGACTACTCATACCCATGGAGCGGCACTGGTTGGTTTCGGGATCAAATTCCTCATTGTCGTTGGGGCAGATGCACAGGAAGCTTCCGTCAACGTTCTCACACAGGGCCTCTCCGCACAGCGCCGAGCTCATCTCACACTCGTTCAGGTCTGAAAACGCAGAGTAAGAGAGTTAAGCATGCTGTAGGCATGATTGGCACACAATCACAGTGCAAATAACAGCGACGATCTGTCTAATTGAAGCAGACAACTTGGCAACAAATTTGCCTTAGAGTAAGTGTGGAGTGAAAGAGGCGCAATCTTGGTCAGATACAGAGAAACTCTGAAAGCATTTAGATAATCCTCAAGGCCACATTGAGTAATTACAGTGAAGTCTGGCCAATTAGAAGTGTTAGAAAACACACAAGTAGGTTGAGAAATTTAGAAAAATCCTGAATTGAATATCAGCTTATCCTTACTACAACCACTGAATTACTTTTTTCTCAAGAACAGTCTATGTCTCATCAACCTCTGCAAGACTGGTCCAGTCTAATCAGTCAGCTATTTAGTTTCTTACAAAAATATTTAGATCTCTTCATCTTTTTCAACTTTTGTCTCAATACAACCACAGTATAATACCCCCCCACCGACCAATCAAAAATATATCGTTTGGAGGAGTATTATGTGATAATAAAGCTACTCAATGTAATGCATAATTTTCAAATGTAAAAGCAACAAGTGAGTTTTTCTCATTTTTTAACAAGTAAAAATCTGAAAGGTTTGCTATGCATTTATTCAGCCCCCCTGAGGCAATACCTTGTAGTGCCACATTTGGTTGCAATTCCAGCTGCAAATTATACAGTATCTGTATTAGCTTTGCATATGTGGAGGAGCAGGTTTTTGACCATCACAGAGGAAATAGTGTCTGTAAAAATCAATCTTCAAAACTTGCTGAGGTGTTTTTTTGTTGTTTTTTTTGTTTTATGGAATAATTTCTGGACTTTGACTAGGCCATAAAGACACTCAAACTTCTGTCCATGCACGTTGTTTCTGTCTTTATGACTAGGCCATAAAGACACTCAAACTCCTCTTACTCATACTCCTCATATTCAGTGAATAGTTGCCAGGGATTCTCTTTGATAGATGAGCAACATTTTTTGTTCACATGACAGCCTGAGAAAAATTATCTACCATATTTGCCTAGCAACTAACACTGCAGAGCCTGGCTGCTGTTTCAATGCACTCTCTTCTCTCCAGATCCAAGTCTTACTCCACCAACAAGTACAGAACATGCCTCAATATCCTACTCTGGAACTAGATGTGATTCTTGTTGATATATAAATGTATATTTACTCAGCATCTAGCAATTACATCCAGCAGTCACACAACAATCCTGATTGGACAATGCAATCAGTCAAAACTGATTATAAAAGGACAAGGCGCCAATCATGTCCTCTACTATGTAACATCAGAAGAAATATGTCAGAATTCCAGCGCTGAAGATATTTTGTTTGAGTGTTTGTTTAAAGCTCTTTTAAATGACTGGCATGGCTGATCAACAGTTACTGGAAATCTTTATTTTCAGTAATTGCTGCAAGGTGTCACACAACATGCTGCCAGCATGCTCTTGGCACTCACTAATGTGGAATACTGAACCTTTTTCTTTAGAGGATAAATGACTTGGTAGAAGATTGTTAGTTTTTTAATTTCAACTGTCAGGATTTGGGAAACAGTGTATGGTATTTTCGCTCACATTTACACAGAAATAAAGACAATTCAAAATAAGCAAAACATTTTGTAAAATTTTTTTTTAGGAAATATATATACATTTGTATACAGTTTGCAAAAAGTGTGAATGATACCTAATTATTTCTTTACTTCCAAAGATTTAGATTGGATTTTGTTTGTTAATCATTTCTAGCTAAAACACAACAACCCCTGCTGTTGAAATGAACACAAACTGATGATTTTTAATCCTGGTTCTCTGGACAAACTGTCCTGCTGTTAGGATTCAGATTTGTATTCTGTGTGAGTGCTCTTCTTGTAGAGAGGATCTATGTGGGAGAGTTCATGCAGCTGATTCCAGCAATCGGCTGCAGGAGCGTTAAGGAGAGGTGGATCAATCATTTGGTCCCACTTGTTGGTCAGATTACTGTCCATGCACGTTGTTTTGACTTTTTCCACATCTTGTCTTGAGCTCATTTCTGAGCTTACCCAGATCCACGCCTCTCCTTCAGAGCTCACCTCAACCATAAGCCATACTGTAAGCCCCTTACTGCATTCATCCTGCAGATTCCCTATATGCTGGTTCCTAATTAGCTCCTCACAGAATCTGAGCTGGGCAAACCCCCTGAATCCCAGAGCGCATCACTGTGTGTGTGTGTGTGTGTGTGTGTGTGTGTGTGTGTGTATATATATATATATATATATATATATATATATATATATGTATGTCTCATTGTCCAGATTCACTGTACATAAATTTTCACAACATCTGGTCCTCAGTTTCTTGTGAGTCTGCATTTGGGTCAAGAAGCTAGAATCCAGCATGTTTTAGGTGTTTCTCTGCCTCCACAGGGAAATAATTGGGTAACTGCCAGGTTTTTGCAGCACTTAATCGCATGCTGAGGTGGTAATGCATCCAATGTCTTTGATTCAGATGAGGCAGAGAAACATCTAAAACATGATGAGGGTTGAAAACCACAGCTTTAGAGAACACAAAGCTCCTAAATTTGCTACAACTTCATTGCACATGTATCAGATTCAATAACAGCCTGCACTAAGTATATGCAGATTCAAATACACATGGTAAATCCAGCAGAAGTTAATGATTTGCACTTGTTTGTGCCTATCATGTTACAGTTCATCAGCCACAAAAACCAGAAGCAGTAAATTATTTAAGAAATAAAGAGAAATGTGCAGTCAAATGGGGGCGCAGCAGTCAGACTGCCCCTCTGTGCTGCACTAATAGGTGTGCGGTGTCTGAGGAGAACCCAACTAGCTCATCAAACCTTCACAAGAAATCTACGCAATGGGTACGCTTGAATATGAAATCGTAACCATTTGCAGACAGTGTGAGCGGCTCACAGAACACGCACTGTATGCCTGAGTTTGTGGGAGCTTTTAAGCAGCTTGAGCTACAATGCTTGGCTGTGGACAAGCCAAGAATCGTTAGTATTTTCCACAATCCTAAAAAGTTTATTATATACTTAAAAAAATAACTAAATACAATTTAGATTACTCATTTGATTAGATAGAAAATATTTCACATGGTTTTCTACAGCCCTCCTCCCTCTTTTCCTTCCATCCTTGTGTGCTACTTTTCTTCTTTCTGTTCTTTCTTCTCTGCTCAATTAGAAATGTCTGCCACAAATTCATTGTGAATTTATATTATAAAATGAATCTAAAGGACTTTTTTATATATATATTTCAGTCTAGAAAGTAGGCAATGTCTGCAGGATGTTAGTGTAGCAAGCCTGATTTGCAAAAATATTGAATAAGGCTCAGTTGAGAGGATGAATTCTAGTTTTTGTGACATTTCTGACCCGTTTTTGTAAAACCAGGACTGCAGAAAATCACATTTTCATCTTTATAATCTGAGCCAAAATTACCACCAGCTTTCAGCAGATGGCCATTTTTACATCGCAATCAGTGTAACAACACGGCTCGCTCATTCTTTGAGAATGCATTGCTTTTTTTGGCTGCGGTGTACATAAACTGACATAAATATGTGCAGACTTTCCCCTAAGGATGCAAAATGCCTTGTTTAAATAGGCAGAACAGCATTGCTGTTTCAGGAGCAGGTCTGTTTTTGCATTTAGATTCAAATGTAGAACAATGCACAAACTCACAACTGCACAAACATAAAATCTCAGTTTCTAGCCACTCAATAATTCAGGTGATAGCAGTTACATACCAACACATCTGGTAATATCTCCGGGTGGGTTGGTGTAGCCTTGGTCACAATGGCATCGGAAGGAGCCGGCTGTGTTCTCGCAGAAGCCGTGGCTCCCACAGATGGTCTCATTGTTGCATTCATCGATATCTGCAAGGAGAGTGAGCGCAACGTGAATATTTACCCTTTCAATCTGCACAGCAGACATTCAAACTGAATCCGTAAACACATGCCTTGCTTGTCCTAAATAACTGTACCACATGCAGACTACCACTCGGACCATTATATAACAACAGATCACTGCCATCATAACATGTCAGAAACAGTATATGGATGGCGTAATTTTTTACAGAGGTTTTCAAACTTTGCTGGTCATCATTCAACTTCAAATATTCGCTTTGCAGCCAGTGATTGCAGCGTGGATCTGCCACAACCTCTTCGCTATGGCAAAGAAGTAAGAAGCTGCAGCCAAGTGTGCTGATACTTCACATGCTGTTTGGGGAAAAACAGACTTCAGATCTGGCATAAAGACTTTTTTTTTTTTTGACATATTCCTGCCAAATATCAAATCCAGTCTTTTTAATAAATAACTTTTTTAAACAAAAAAGCCTTTAGAGATTTTAAGGTGCTTCTTAGGTGGATCCTGGTGGATCTCAAACACATGTACAGTAGTAAATCATAAAGCAAGTTTGATAAATGTGAAGAACAACATGCTGTTTGTCAGTAAAAAGGAGGCTTGTTGAGGCTGTTAACATTAGACCTTCTCACAGCTCTGCTGATTCCCCACCAAGTGTTGTTTGACGGCAACATTTGTTAGCAATTTCTTACATACATGATTTAGTATTTCTTGGCATCTCCTGCAAAAGTAGAGAGGCCAAAGATCGAAACGGCAGAAGCATGAGGTTGATTATAATTGTTTAAAAAACAATCAGAGAGTTTATTGTTCACACTTTTGTCACATGATTTTGTCCTCTGGTCAGTTAGGCATGCCACTGGTTTCTGTCTGATGTCCCACTGGTTGCCAAGCCTGCTGACGCAAACTCTGTCAGTTTCCAGTTTTAGTAACTCGTCTCAAGTTGAGAAAAACACAATTACATCAAAACGATGAGAAAAGAAATGCAATTTGAGCAAGTTTACCAGCAGACATGTACATCTGATGATAAATACAGTGACAGCAAAACATTTCAGACGTATAAAGGAAACAATTTATAGAACGAATGATAGAATGTTCATTATATGTGGAGCCTTGGACAAGTATTCATGGTTTGAATTTTTCACGTTATAAACAGTGTAGTTTATTGGGATTTTGTGCGATGCAGTGCTTAATTATGCGATGAAAGAGGGAGGTTTAAAACGTTTTACAAGAGCAGGACGAAAACATAAGTGAAGGGTAAGGGCTAGGGGTCTTTTATTTTGCTCTACAACTGCTGTGTGAGTTGAGAAAAGATAGAAAGTGGTTTTGAGAAACCACAACATGCTTGATTTGAAAGGTGCACACAGCTAGAGTTCTGTTTTCTCCTGCAGAACAGACAACTGCCTTTTCAGAGCTCTTGGGAACAGTAATCCTGAGTCAGTTTCTGTTCTGAGTTGGAAATGCTTCTAACATACCTCAGGGGTCAGAGACAGGGGCTAATAAACCCACACAGACAAAATTGTCTTTGTTGTTCGCAGAACTTTTGTCAGGAAATGCTAAAGAACCAAAATTGCTAGAATATACTTGTGGGCTTGACTGGCTGCAAGATAAGAAGATGGAGGATGAACAGATGCACTCTGTACTGAAAACGGCCAGCCCACTCGGTTTTCATTCAAGCTTGAGACTTAAACTGGAGAAGAAGCTGAAAGAAAATTCAGAGAAATATTTCTGGGGCTGAGTCAAGGATAGAATAATTAGTATAGAGTTTGTGGAGCATTTTTATAAATTGTGCAGAACTCAAGTGGAGTTGTGAATGTTGGAATGAAAGCGGCAGCCAGCTGGGAGGTCTGAGAGGGAAGGCTAATAAACAAAATCATCAGCGTCTGAAGGCAGCATTTCATTCATGTGTAAAACGGAGCAAAGAATCTGCTGCAAACCATATGCTGCAACGAGATGCAATCAAGTTATCATACTTGGAGGAATGTGCACGTCAAGAACAAAGCAAATATAATGGCCTTTATTCTTTTGTGTATCTGGATAATTTGAGTGACAGGAATACTCGACAAGCCATCTGCATGTATCATCTAAGGAGAATTTGGCGTGCTAATCACAGCACTAATGGTTTGTCGGCAAAGAAAATGAAAAATTAAAAGAAAATGAGATAACTACACCAAGAGTTAACCTTACACCAGAAATGGGATGATTTTTTAAATACTTTTTCTATGTAATAATGACTTATGTAAGGATACTACTGGTGCTGTAAATTTCCGGACAGGGAAAAAAAATAACTAAATCAGAGAATAGAATAAGGAGTTTAATGGAATGGATGAGGCTGATGTTATTAACAACCATGTGTCCTTATAATCTGACAAAGGAAAATCTGTTTCTGGATCAGGATGTGCTCTGATCTCTGTATAAAAAGGGATTATAGTGAGATGTATCTTACATGTCATCATATATGCATAGTGGTGGTGAAAATACACCACCACTATGCACCCTACACCTTCCATACTTTCCCATATATTCTGGGCAATAGTTGCTCGGAAATTTGTTCACGCCCATGTGAGTATAATACGCCAGAGTATAATGTAAAAACTAAGTACATAATCAAATATTTCAAAACCTTATCCACATTTAAATGGGGGACATATCATGTAGACCAGTGGCTTCCAACTCTCTTACATCTCTAAAGTATTTCCTTACTGCCACCCACTTGAATTAGATGAATGAGTGATTAACAGGTTCTGAAACACCTGACAACATACTGAGGAAATGTCATCTAGAAGCTTGTGAGCAAAACATGTCCTAATAACCTCAGAGAGTTGAACAACTTTTGAAAACGACTCCTACAAAGGACAACTTAATAGTGGTGCAACCAGATTACTGAACCTCATAAGTATAGAGATTTGTAAATCTCTGAGGTTCACTGTAAGATCCACAACCTATCTAAGGTAATAACAAACAAACTCATCTGGCATATTGTGGTCATACCTCTATGACAAAAAGAACTATCAAAGTGTAACAAATAAGTAAAAGTCATCTAAGTCCTATACATTTATACAAGGCAAGAGAGTAACCACAGACAATTTCCTGTTTAAGGAAAGCCTTGTTAAAGACATGGCATAGCTTCAGGGAAGTTATGACTATGAGTGTGACTAAAAACTAAAAACAATAACCACAGCATCAAGGAGGGCTTGTGTGCACTCATTATAGCACAATTGTGGGTGACGTTTGCTGTGGGGGGGAAAAGAAAAAAAAAAAAAAAAAAAAAAAAACTGGTTTTTTCCTTTTTTTTGTTATGGCCCCAAAAACTCAAAGGAGGG